AAGCCGTTCCTCCGTCCTCTCGTCGGCCGCCCCCATGATTAAAACTCCACCATGGATTTTCCGCGACTACGCGCGCGCGCGCGCACGCGAATGTTTCCCGATACCTCTGATGGAGACACGAGCGAGCGCCCGCGTGCGGAAACGCGACTTTGAGAAAGCATATCATAGGGGAAGGAAGAGATAAGAGGAGGGGGAAGGAGAGAGAGAGAATAGAAGATAAGTTAGGTTAGGTTAAGCGCTTCTTTACCTACAATATACCATGCTTTTGCATTTCGAATTTATTTGGAAATGGAATCGTTCGTCAAGCCCGGATTCGATCTTGTTCACTTTGAGGCGTAAAAAAACCTTCAATGAAAAAAAATATATATATATATATTCTTACACTTTTCATAAAAACGAGAAGCAGAAATGAAAACAAATGCCAAGGTAACTGGACAATAAGTCGTGATATCGCGTTCCTTGGAGGTCAGAAGTCCAGTAGGTAAACGTGCGTAAAGCAAGTATCATTTTCCCAGAATTGTGACGACACATTCTATAAAGAAACATAGTCCTTTCGGTATGGAAGGTCCTACGGGCTCGTGGAAGAAAGGAATGTGCAGGAAGATAACGCGATAGACGCGGGCCATTGGCGCAAACCGTGGAATAGGAGGCGATAACGACGAGAGACAAGAGGGAAAGATGGTGAGGGATACAAAGCGCGAAGCATCGTGAGCTCGTCGCACGCCACGTTAGCACGCGCTCGCGCGCACGACGGAGCTGCGCGAAGTAAGCGGCGAGTTGCACGCGCACTGCGCACCCGCCGTCGCCGTCGATCGGCTGAGAGGATTCAAGGAAGAGAGAGAGAGATAAAGATAGAGAACGAGCGTGTGCGTGTGTGCGTGTATATATGTGTGTGTCGCAGACAATCGTGTACTTACCATCATTTTATAATTGATCTTCCGCGCGGCCACGTTTTCCATTCTCACAGACATGGTCGCGATGTGGTTGTTACAGTAGAAAGTAGAGGAATCCGTCACGTCGTCGGTGAACGATAGAAGCTACTACAGCCGCCGATGAGAATAACAATAACAAAATACGCCGGCGCGACGCTGCGCAGCCTAAAAACCACCGTCAGCCGTCGCCGCCGGTCGCTTTCGCGCCGCCACTCTGGTTCCTTCACCTCCTCCTCCTTTTTTACCTCCCGCACAGCCGTCGCTTCCTCCTCCACCTCCTCCTCCTCCTCCGCCTCTTCCACTCGTTCGTCGGCGTTTCCTCGTTCTCGCCGTTCCTTCGCACGTCCTCGTCCGTTCCGCGGCCGACGACGTTGTCACTTGCCGCACTGCAACACCGCGCGACGAGTTTCCTCGCTCACCGCCGGCACTGATGGGACAACTGAGCAGAGAAAAATTACACCCTGTAGCGCACTCGCAAGACACGACACGACACGGCACGGCACGTACAGATAGACGGATCACCGAAACGTGAATTCGTGCACTCTTTCGATCGGCCGCCCGGTGGAAACCGGAGCAAAGCTGAGAGTAAGAGAAAGAAAGGAGATTGGAGATACGTGTGTGAGGACGGCGACGTAGTGTAAGAATACCGGGCGAGACGCCGCTGCTTGCTCGGCGTGCAGCGACGAGGGATGGCCCAATGGCGGCGTAGGAGGGGGTGGAGAGGGTAGGGACCGATCGTACCGTGCTGTACCGTACCGTATCGTATCGTACCTCTACCTTTAACGGCTCAGTCGTCGTCGTCGTCACTGTCCTCGTCACGAAATCCAACGTGATGATAAATTACTTTACGCCATTGAATAGAGAAAGATAAAAGAGAGAGAGAACGTGTGCACGGTTAGAAACGAAGAAGAATGCGGGAGAGGGGAAGGATAGAAAGAGAGATACGTTGGCGATTCTGTAAATTATGGAGGAAGAAGCGAGATGGAATAACGAGAGGAAGAGAAAGGGAAGAGAGAGAGAGATAGAGGGGGGAGGGGATTCAAGAGAAAGAGAGGCCGCTGCCGAGCCGATGGCGATGCGAGCGACGGATGTCAAGAGGGTGTGTCGTGATCGTGTGGAGCGCACTTTTCACCACTCTTATCGCTTTTAAATTACCGCACGGCACGCACCGGCGGCCGGTTAGTCTGTCTGTCGGTCGGTCGTACTGTACACACTCGCCGCTCGAGCACCTTTTTCCGCGTATTCGAGCGTATTCGATGACGACGACAACGACGACGATGACGACGCCGTCGTTAATTTTCTTCTCGTTACTCTACACACGTATATACGAAATGACCGATGAAACGGACGAATGCACGCACGCATGCACGCCACGCATGCACTGCACACACCCGACGAGGGTTTCCTCGAAGAGAAAAAGAAACGGAGAAAAGAGATAGAAAAAGAGCGCACGCTGCTGCGCCGCGTTGCGCCGCGAAACGGAGAGACTAACGGCGGCGCCGCGCGACCGACCGTAAAACTGCACCGAGGGAGTGTAGATCGGCCGCTTACTCGTTTCAAACGCGATGCCGTTGCTGCCGTCGCTGCCGTTGCCGCCGCTGCCCGGCCGCTACTGTCGCCGAGCGTCGGAGGCGGCGTCGCGTCGGCACGAAACCGCCGTAGATCGCCGGGACGATCCTCCGAATTTCTCTCCTAGTCGCTCCGTTCCCGCGGAGAACGAAACCAGCGGGACGACCTCCTAGCGCCTCGCTCACTCTCGGCGCCGACGTCGACGATGCCGTTGCCGTCGCCGTCACGACGATCACCACCAAGCTAAACTACTAGCCGTTGCTTCACACACGCGCACCACACACATACATACACATACGCACACACACAAACGGCCGCTCCTTTTTCTCTAATACTCCTCTGCCGCTTTCTCGTTCACTTCTTCCTCCGTCGTCTCGTTTACGGTTCTCCTCGTTTTCCCGCGCACCACTTCTCTATCTCGATACCCTCTTCCACGATAGAACGGCTCTTTCCTTCCTATCTCAATGGTCGTACAAATTATACACCGCGTTGCCTCGCGGGGTGAGCACACACTACTTTTTAATTTACGGCGCGTTATTACAAAAATAGAGCTTGCGTGTAGAACGTGTAGTACGGAGCGTGTGGAGTGTCTTTCTTTCTCTCTCTCCTCCGTGTTTCCCTTAAATAAGATTAATGTACAATTGGTTAATTGTTACTATAGGAAACATTTAATGTGTGTGTTGTCTTGTAGGTAGAGACTAAGCTACTGCCCGGCGAGGTGCGCCCATCTTGCCCGAAACTGAGGGTAGTCGCCGATGGGCGGCGCTGCCGTCAGCCGCACCGAACGATGGGGGCTCCGGCGGCCGCGCCTGTCTGCGTTGCCGCCACTCAACACACGCGCGAGATTCGGCGTCGCTTCGGTCGACGTTGGACGCGAGCGAGAGAAAGCGAATGGTCGCGCCGCCGACCCGACGAAGACGGCCGATTCGGCGAGCGCACGATACAACGAAACGAGACGCGAGAAAAGGATCGGACGAACACCGGTGACGCGGCCACGCCGGCGAGTTTCGATGTGCTGCAGTTGGCAGTAGTGCGAAACGCGCGGAGCGCCGCGATGGCGGTAGATTGACGGTGGGGGGAAATGCGGCGAGCGAGCGGAACGACGAAGAGGGAGGAGAGAGGGAGGGAGGGAAAACATTCATTACGCTCGTTCTCCTCCGAGAGAGTCCTATTGAACTCTGTCCGAAAACAGATCGTTTTCACTTGGAAACGATAGTCGTACCTATCGCGACGAAAGATAGGGAGAAGAAATGAAAAATACCTTCATCAATGAGTAACGATCGAGTACCGATTGTGCCGAACGTCCTGCAAGTGCCAGGCGGACGGTGGCACGTCGTTGCTAATTAAAAGTCAGAATCACTGACTGAAATAAACTCGTAAAGTGAAAATGTAAAGAAAGCCACGTAGGAGAAGCTAGGAACAAAAGAAAGAGAGAGAAAGGAGGGGGAGAAGCATCGAAGAGGAGAGGGTTGGGTGACGACGCGTACGCTCACCCTCGCTCATCCATTCACTGTAGCCACGCAAAGATCGAACCGCGTGTTTAGTCTACTCGCTTGCACGAAAAAAAACGTGCTCATTACTAACCTGAACGGATGAATCACGTACGAGTCAATAACGTCGGATAATATAATGATAACGTGAAAAGAGAGAGTAGATCTTCGCGAATACGTGACGGAATCTTTTGTCCGGAATCCTGAGATACTCTCCCACTTAGTACAGATCTCCGAAGGACATTCTAAAAATGTCCAACTAGGACGTCCGTATGCATGGGCGTAGCCAGGATTTTGTTTGGGGGAGGGGGAATCAAATTGGAGTTGAGACTTTTTAACCCGTGAGGGGGGTGGAGTAGTCGAGTGATACGGACTATTGGATTTGTTTTATATTATTTTTAATTAATTACTAGTAGGTAAATCACATATTTAATGTACTAACTTACTTAATTTTTTTTCTTAAAATTGTAAACTGATACTTCGAAATGGCAAAACTTCAATTTATAATACTATTAGCCGTTTTGGATTCTCAGAAAATCTTTCTACAACTTTCACCTTCAATTCTTCTTTCTTTTTGAAAATTAATTTCTTATGAATACTCGTTAACCATATTTCGTAATTGTGTATAATTTTTCTAATTATTTTTTTTTAATTTAATTTAATTTTTTATTTAAGATTTAGGGGGCCTTGGCTTAGGTCCCCCCCCCCCCATGGATTATATCCATGTCCGGATATCCTCTGAATATCCTGAAAACATTCCTGAAGACTTTATCCCACAAAGTCTCTGTATAGGCTGTCGTGACGAAATTTTTCTCACAAACGAAGGTTCATTTAATTCTCGATTTTGATCTCTGAGTAGCTGAGTTTGTTTAAATCCCCGTAGCGCATTCATTTGTACAATTTGCTTGGCCATGTACAAAGTCCGTTTCTCTAGAGAATTTCCGGAATTCGTAGTTCGGCTACCTGAAACGCTGAAACGGATGAGCAGTCGAGAGAAAGCGAGATAGGGTCCAGAGAGACGCAGAGAGAGGGACGAGGAGAGCGAGAGGAAGAAGCCGGCTCTCGCGCTCTCTTTCCGCAGACCGAAGGATCGATTGTTCCGATCCTTTCGCCGTCTCTGCAGGGGTGCTCTTGGAAAAATTTTGTATATCTAACCAGTACAAACTCTCTACTGAATTATTATTGTTTCATTTTTTTCAATCAGAGCCGGAATCCTATAAACTCAAAAATATTAGAAAGCCTCTAACGCGGTTATTTTTTTCATTTTTATTAATAAAAAAAACGATTCGATAAAAAAGAGAAATACAGGAAAAATAATTAAAGAACAATATTTTGTCCAGAATATATGGGAATATACGTAAGAAAGAAAATTGAAGAACAAAATTGATAACAGCCTATAATAATTATTTTATTTTTATTGGAATAATTTACTCAATAAATGTAAACATATATTTTGTCACGTATATTTGGAAATTTATATATTTGTCCGAGTACCTATAATAATTCGGTTATTGTATTCCATCTTTGAAATGCAAATGTTGATTAAAATCGCGAATGCGTTAAAGTTGAAAACAATGATTTCAAATGTATTTACCAATTCACGGAATATTTATATTTGTAAACATTAGCAACATTGCGTATAAAGAGAAATAATATTTATCACATAAATGACAGGGGCGGTTTCCTTCTCGATCTTCCTCCTTTCGCATATGCGCCCTCTCGCGATCTCTCTCCCTATCCTGTCTTTCTCTTTCTCTATCTACCGATTCCTTTCTCTCCCCTCTCTTTCCTCCCTCTCTTCTCTCTCTCTCTCTCTCTCTTTCTCTCCGTACGCCGAGTTCCTTCGCACCTTGGATGCAGAGCGTGAGCGCGTTTATCGATCGATCGCAGAACGACCTCGCTCACGTCTCCTACTCCTCCTGGAGGTCAGGAGTCGGCGGGCTGGATTTTTCCCTCCCTCCCGCCCTTCTGTGCAATTTTCTCTTCTTTTCCTCGCGACGCGACGCGGCTCGACTCGACGCGGTGCGGACAGCATCCCTCCATCGCCGCGACACCCCGCGCAGCTTTCCGGTCGTCGACTCGCCGATGTGCGTCTCATTGACGAGCTGGATGTCGTGCGAGTAAATCGATGTGCGATTGTTGCGAGGAGATAGCGATCGGAAGTATACATTAATCCTAATTATTAACATTTTGCGAAGATAGAAAAAATGAGTAATGATATGAGAAAGGAATAATCTTTTCTTGGACAGAAATATTATCTATTATAAAACCACATTGCAGCTGAATAAATATTTCAAATTATTTAAAAATTTATTCACCTCTGCTTTCCGATAAGATATTTGTCACGACAATAAAACTTTTCTAAATGGATGATAATAGTCAAATAAACTATATATGATAAACTATGAGTAGATCAAAACTGAATTAGAACGAATTAAGTAGAAAATACATAATGAATTTCTGACCGTTCAATGATCGTAACGATGGAAATGTGCTGATGAAAACTCACATTTTCTCACGGTACCTGAACAGAGATTTTAGACAAATCATAACGATGAAACACGTTAACGTGTTACGATTAAAAATGGAAATAATAATATCTCAGTTCATGTGCAATTTCCTTTCAAAGAGCAAGTTCGATTAAAGTACTAAAGTTCATATTTACAGTTTCTGCTGAGCAATTCGGTCGAGAAACTAATTTCGAGATAGCTCTTGGAGAATCAATCAAGTGTTTGTGATACATAATCGTAATCGCGATTCTGTAAAATAAGTGAAAATAAGCTCAATCTTATTGCCCGAAACACGGCCTTGAGACCTATTATATGCGATTCGACAATCAATTCTCGCGTTGCCTCGTAACGTCTCTAATAAAGGCCGATTAATATTACGGATTGAACCAATCGTAAATTTGAAAGCCTTTAGCCTAATTGAAGAAAACTTGGTTGATGGAATCTGAAATTAACGGTAAAATCGAATACCGGAAACTCGAGTTACTGGTATCGAGAATATCAAGCTGTAAACAGATCTGTGTAACTTGTTTATGTCTTATAAACGTCATTTCTAAGTATTACCGAGTTCCTCAGTTTAAAATAACTTGCCACACTTGCTGGAAAAAGATTGTCGCAAAACAATGTATATATGTATAATGCTATGTCAAACACTCTCTCTCTCTCTCTCTCTCTCTCTCTCTCTCTCTCTCTCTCTCTCTCCCTCGCCTTCAGTCTTTTTCCGCTCTCTCCTCTATTAGAATTGCTAGAGTTAAGCAGTGCATTATGCACGATGTGTCACAGCACAGTCACTTTGCCACTTGCAAGGGTTCATCGAGGACACCCGGCGTCGTTGTCTTAGTCATCGGGCCTCGTCTATCTCGAATCTCGTTGGATTCGTTCATTCTCGTCGTCTTCGTATCGAGGAACGTTCAAGAAAGCAGGCCATCGGTTTTGACCGATGTCTCTTCTCGTGTCGTTCGCATTTCTCACTCTCTTTCTTCTCCTCCATTCCCCCTCCCCCCCTCTCTCTCTTTCTCTTTCTTGATCACAAACGCACACAGTCTCACACATCACGGACAAGGTCAAGGTCGTTAGCCTTCGTTCCTCGGCATCTTCCTCGGCATCCACCTCCGCGAATCTCTTACAAGCTTCTCTCTCCTTCCTTCCCTTTCACACTTATTCTAATTAATATAATTCTCTTGCAAGATCATATATTTTTACGTTCGGTCAAAACCAAAAGCCACTTGCTTTGCGCTTTGCGGATCCATGGCTTATATGCGTTAAGTCCTATCCGTAAACCCTAAGAGGATTGCCGCTGAATTCGGACAAGCGTATTACTGTTTTCCAGCTTGTCTAGAAGAGCTAATTAAGGTAGCTTAATCTCAAAAAATGTGTTGCATATACTAATTGAATAAATATATCGCTATTACTTAAAAATTATTAATCTAGTACACTGAAAAAAAGATTGGGCTGCTGCAGCAAATTAGATGGTAAAATATGGCATAGCATTTTTAATTGGTTGCAGCAGCCAATTTTTTTTTTCAGTGTATATATAATTAATATTTTATACAGTTAACCATTTACTAATACTATCGTTTATACAGTTGCACTCTATTTTACTATTAATATTAATTGTCTTTAATAATGATATTTGGAAAAAAACTAAAGCTCATTAAAACTAATGTTTTGATAAATGCTTGGGACTAAACAAAATCTTTGCGTAGTATAGAACGATTACGGAGTCGCTCGATCGGCCTGAGATGAGAGCGAGCAGCACTTGGGACATTCCGTTGCTGCCACTCGTGCGAACAGGTTCCCGAGCGATTGGAAAAAAGAAAACGATGAAAAAAAAGAAAGGAAGAAAGACGCGGTACGAAGAAAAAGGAAGCGATGTGCGAAGGGGCGAACTAAACAGTCATTCGCGGCGGATCGTTTGATGTAAATAACGAAATCGCAGACCAGATTGGACATTCGTCGATGTCATCCATATATTGTCGATCATTCCCGAGAACGGGAATCGAAGTCGACATCGTTTTCGGCGAGTTTCGACTTTTTTCAGATACGAAAAAACGCACTTTGAACAGACTCAAATAAACATAGATA